ACAGGTCTTTCATCAATTCCTTAAAAAGAGCCAAATGATGCTTCCTCTACCTGAGACATCCTTCCCCTTGCTTGACTGACTCCTACTCATCTTGCAAGTCTTCGTTCAACTGTCACTTTTCTAAGTTAATCTCTTATGATATTTTCTCACAGCATCCTGTGCTTTTCCTTCACAGTACTTACCGAAATTTATAATTATACATTTCTATGACAGTTTTTAAAATACCTGTCTATCCTACTAGTCTCAAAGTAGCATGAAAGCAGAGGCCTTGTCTGTTGTGTTTCCCTCTGTAGATCCAGCTCCCAGCACACAGGGCCTTACAAGGAGTGGACACTCATATCTTTATTGAATAAAAACATGTTCAGAACTACAAATATCTCATTTTGATGGAAAAACCTACCTATGTGTATGAATATTATCTTAGTGTAGCAAGAAAGTGACAGAATAGGACGCTGAGAATGCAGGCAGGGGCCAGATCACGGAAGGCCTCGTGAACTACACAAAGAAACCATCTGGAGAATCCTGAAAAGCAGGGTGAGAGGATAATATGGGCAGTTTTAAGCAGCCATTCTGGTGGCAGTGTGGAGCATAGAGCAGCAGGGAAGGAGAAGGTAAGAGATGGTGAGGCCCAATCTATGGTAGCAGCAGTGAGGATGAGGAGGAGAAGGGATGGATACAGGACTCCTAAGGAGCTAGAATCAATGACCTGGTAATGAAATAAATGATACAGGAGGAGATGAGAGACACCAAGATTTCTGGCCTGGATTTTTAGTTAGAAGGTGGGAGTCATTCACTTAGACAAGTGGATAAAAGAGAGAAAGAGAAGCTGGCAGGGAAGGTTATAAGTTTACTTTTGGAAATGTTGAGCTTGCAGTGCCGGTGGAGGAATCTAGGAGATAATCTGACAAATATGTCCGGAGCTCAGAAAAGAAATCTGAGCTGGAAAAACGGAGTCAGATGCAATCAACAGGGCGAGAGTAGCTAAAAACATGGGTGCAGAAGGGGCTGATGGACAGCATGTCCGAAATATTAGTCAAGAGGTGAAGAGAACGGAAAACTAAAGAAAGCTCAGCAAAGGGGACCTGGCAGGCAAGTAATGGCTCTGTCAACAATTTCCACGTAAGAAACCAAGCCCCACTCATGTGTGCCTACTCACACTGGACTCTGCTGCGGCTGAAGTGGGGGCAAGCTTCCCAGGCCCTTCTCCCAGGCAGCTACAGCCAGAGCGATCTCCTCCTCAGACAGGGCAGCCAGCTCCTCCTCCTATGAAGGGTGGATACAATCGCTCACCAGGTGTGTGCATGGGGCGCGGGGGGGGGTATAAACAAATTCTCTCCATGCTCCCCAACAACTGAAAAAGTTAGTAGCCATGCTCAAAGTCCCTCCCCAAGCCACTCCCCCCTCCCCACCAGGGACTGAGGCTCTGTCCCAAACCTCAGGCTCATTGCTGACAGCCCTCCCCTCAAACAAGCTGGGCTGGGGCTGCTTTTGGAGGTAGGGCCGGAGGGCCAGGACACCCTGCTGCTTCAACACCATCTCTGCAGCTCGCTGACATGGCTCCTGAGAACTCAGTGTCTGGAACCAGCTGTTTAGGGCACCCAGCTCCTCTGTGGGCATGGGAAAAAAGAGGGTATCAAAACTTAGAATGGGCAGGTGGGAGAGGACCTCCTCCCCTTCTTCACGAAGTTTCTCCAGTTGCCTTCCCCCATTCCCTCAGCCATCTTTCTGCTGTAGCTGTCCTGTCAAGCTACACCTCAAAGTGGGTCCTCAATATTCTGCCCACTCTGTAACCCCTACACCAAGCTCCTGGGGTTGGGGCTGGGGGGTTCTTACCAGGGAGGTAGGCTGGGTCTTGGAGTAATGGGTACAGTGCTCCCCACAAAACAATGTCAGCTAGAGATTCTGTCTCCTTTGTTGAGGAAAGGAAAGAAAAAGTACACAAGTGAGATAATCAGTTTCTTCCCAATGTATATAATAATATCTTATATTTTCTAAGCACTTACTACATATCAAGCACTGTGTTAAGCACTTTGAATTATCTCACTTACCCCTCACAATAACCCACTAAGGTGGGTACTAATACTACCCTCATTTCAAAGATGAAAAAAACTGAAGGTTAGAGAATTAAGTGATTTTTAAAGGTTACACTGCTAATAAGCAGCTGTTTCGGGGTTTGGACTTGGAATACAGTCCTCCTTTTTACCTCTTACACCACAGAGCTTTCCTTGATCCCCATCTCAAGGCCCAACTCACCCCAGCCAGGAAAGGACAGCTCCGACGACTCAAGCTATGGTCAATATGAGTCAGGGCTCTCCGGACTGGGCCAAGAACATCTTCCCCCTTCTTCCCTTGGACCACCAAATAGTACAATGCAGCGGACAAAGCTGGCTAAAATGCGGGAGACACAGGTCAGGACGGCTATGCAGAGCAAGGGCCTGCCTGCCACCCCCTCGTCTCAGTCCCACCTGCAGTTCTGTGGCTTCCCATTCCAGCCATTGGTTGGTGAGGTCATCTTGCTCCCAGCCAGATAACAGAAAGAAGTATCTGCTCAGGGAGAGAACAAGAGAATGTAGAATTAGAAGGGTCCATTTGTCTAGCCCATTTCTCACCCTCCAGTGCAACAGTGGTTGTAAATAAGGCCACACAGAGGACAGTAATCCCTGATTTTATTCGGTCACCTCCCTGTATCAAGGATCAATACTGACCGACAGATTGCACTGGTGGAGAAGAGGTAGTTGCCACTATCCAGTTGCAAGACAGGGACCTTAGGCCGGGTCAGGAACGGGACCACACACTCTGATGCAGGAGAGGAAAATAGGTGAAAAACAGGGAAACGAAAAGAAAAATTTTGTCAATTTAGAAGGACAACTTCACACTGTTGGAGGCACGGGGAAGGAAAGAAAGATGGGCAGTCTCAACTAGAGGGCCCACGATAGGACCACCGAAAGGGGGTGGGTCCAGAATGAGCTAGAGAGGCCAGCAGGTGTTCAGCTGAGACTGCCAGCTGGAAACAACAGATGGGGACTGCAGCAAGGAGGTGGTGGTGTTGGGACAGTGCTGCAGCCAAGAACTGGAACAACTGAAAGTAACTAGGATATCTGAGAATGATCTCAGCTATATCAGGAGAACAAAATTAAGAGAACTGGGAGGACTGACAAGAGAACAGCTTAAGAATTACCCAAACAGATGGCTGCGAATGATAAGAGGTAAACGGAAAGGAGTATGTGTGTACCGTTTGTTTTAGGAGAGGAGAGCAGGGTTTCCTAAGAACGACAAAGGGGTGCCTAGGAGTTGTCATGTGAGTGACTGGAGAGTGTGCGTGGAGTAGGGTGGGGTGCCTGGCAGGTGTGGGAGAAGATTATCAAGGGTAAAGGTTCACTGGAGTGAGGCGGGGTCCTGGAAGACGAAGGAAGGAAGGCAGGCAAGAGATGAGAGAAGGGTACACTGAGGGTAGTTAAGGGAAGTGACTGATTAAAGATGTGTCTGGGAGGAAAGAAGGGATGGAGTACCCAAGGACAATGCGGGAGGAGGTTAACCGAGTGATGGTGGGGGGGGAGGGTTGGTGAAGACAATTACATGGTGGTGTTTCGGTCCCACCTCCCTCATCCACCACCCACCAGCACCAGCCCGACTACCTTCTGGGCCTACAGTGCTGATGAGCAGCTCCGCTCTGCCCTGGGCCCTCCCGGCCGCGGCCAGCACAGGCAGGCTCCCTGGGGCACCCTCGCTCACGAACAATCTCATTTCGCCGTGGATTCCACGCTGATGCAACCGGAACCGGCCTCCCGCCAGTGGGCTGAGCGACCGCCGCGAGGCACGCCGGGAAATGGAGTTCGGAACTAGGCGGTTCCCCGCGCCCGGCTCCCGGAAAGTAGGGTGTTTTTCCCATCATGCAACACTAGGAAACAGGAAAAGAGTGTCATAGAGACGGAGAGGCCGTCGATGCGGTGCCAGAGCGGCACTTTCCTGGTGGGCGGGCCGGAGGAGACCTCTACGTGTACGGCGCGGCGCACTTTAATCCTCCGACGCAGCCCGAAGGCGCTGACGGAAACTGAGGGCTCCACTTGACTGGCTGAAGTGCCGATGTCCGGACAGTGGCTCTTCGCAATGGTCGACTCTCGATTCGAGTTCATAAGAATCAGACCTCTGGAGTTGAGAGTTACGATAGACTTAATTTAGTGACGCAATGAAAATTAGTGTGGATAGCCTATTAATTTTTTAAAATGTGACTATTAAATATTGATTTAATACCAGTCTGCAGCGCATAATCAGCCAATCTCATTAAACGGGAGGAAACATGTGTAGGGAAAAGGTCAGACTGAGGAGAAGTAAGAAGGCTCAGAGTTTGGCAGTAAGTATATATATATTTCAAAGAAACATATCAGTCAATGAGAAAGGGACCCTTCTTAATCATCTTTGTATCCCTTTAAGAATAATACTTGATAGTACTTACGAGCTAAGCGTTGTTCTAAGCCTTATGTATATATACGTAAATTTATGTGTAATAATAATTCCCTTATATGTGAACATAAGTTTAATTCTAAAAAACTCTGGAGGTTCTGGGCCTTTTGAATCTAAGCTATAAGAAGGCTTGCAGCTTCTCCCAGTCTTCTTGGAAAACTCTAATAGCCCTGAGATACCTTGCAAGAAGCCTTACTACCCTGAGATTGCCATGCTGGAGAGGTGTCCTGTTGACACTCTGGCTGACAGCGCCAGCTGATCCCAGCATTCCAGTCAGCCTCATCAAGGTGTCAGGTGAGTGAAGCTCTCCAGACCAGCCTGTCTATCTACCTGCTGAATACCACCAAGTGGCCCTAGTCAATGCCACAAGGGACAGAAGAATCACCCAGCTGAGCCCTGCTGAAATTTCTGCCCTGTAAAATTGTGGGCTATGAGAAAATAGTTGTTATTTTAAAAATTACAAACAAACCATGAGATAGCTTCTCTCATTCTCATTTTTTAGATGAGGAAACAAGCACAGAGAGATTACTTCGCACTACACAAGGCATTGAAGATACGATACAATTATTCACAAAATAGATACAGGCTGCTTCCTTGGCAGAGCTTACAGTCTTCCTGGAAAGTCAGAAAGTCAAAAACTTTAAAGTATCCTGAAAGTTATCACGGTGGAATGTAAAACTTGCTGTAGGATCTTCTAGTTAGGGCCTCTATGGGACTCTAAGGGTTAGAGAGGCCTTCATGTGCAAATGACCTTTCCACTGAGATCTGGCTGATAAGTAGGAGTTCACCAGGTGAAGGCTAGTAGGAGTGGAAAGAGGAAGTGTTTCTAGCAGAGGAAACAACTTCTGCAAAGGACCAGAGGCCTCAATGCACTTTAGGAATGTGAGGAATTAGTGTGTGGCTGGCTTATGGAGTTGTGGTGGGGAGTGTGAAAACGCTAGGCTAAAAGGAGAAAGTCTCTTAAACCATATTGTAGAACTTGGACTTTGAGAAAAACTGGAAGCCTTTGAAAAGTTAAGTCAGGAGAGTGGCAGGGCATTTTTGTGTTTTAGAAACTTCCCTCTGGCTGCTATGCCAGGAATGGACTGGAAGCAGAGCTCTATGCAAGGAGACTAGTTCAAAGATGGTATCATGTGGGCTAGTTGTAGATAGACTGGAAAGATTTAGTAATCAATTAAATGTGAGTGGGGAGGAAACAAGAGAAGTTAAGTTTGGCTGCCAGATTTCTGACCTAAGCAGCTGGGTATACCCTGTGTGTGCTCCAACAGATGATCATATTTCCCCTCTCATACTGGTTAGCACACTGTATTTTAATTGTTATGAGAGGGCACCTTGATTGACAATGCCTAGCTCACAGTTCTTGCCTGGCACCCATGGTAGTAAGCATTTACTAAATGTTTATAAATTTAAATTTAACTTAATGGTGGGACTGAAAGAGAAACTGGTTTGTGGAAAGCAGACAAGTTCAGTTCAGAACACAGTATTTGTGGTACCTGTGAAACACCCAGGTGGAGATTTTCAGGGGACAGCGGATTAGATTGGAGCTCCAAAGAAAGATCTGGACTGGAGATATGGTACCAGCAACATATGGAGGTCATCTGAACTGGGGAGAGAATAAGACCACCTTTGGCTTATAGAGTGCAAATGGCACGGAATCTCAGTCAGACCTCTGGGGTTTAAGAAACAAGCAAAGTCCTTCCTTATGCAACAGAAAAGGAACTGCTAAAAAGATAAGAGGAATGCCAGCAGAGGTTGTAGAAGGAAAGAAAGGTCAACTGTGTTGGCTGCTGCTGAGATGTAGAGCAATGTAAGGACAGCAAAGTGTCCCTGCAGAGTCAGAGGTGACCCTATGAGGAGTGAGCTTGCAAAGGTGATGGAGTGAGGGGAGAGGAAATGGGGACCCCCATGTGTAGGCAAAAAAGCTTGGCTGTAAAATGGAAGAGAATGCTAGGGTGGCAACTGGAGAGTACAGCAGGAGGAGGTTTGTCTAAAGATGGGAGAGACTTGGATATGTTTAAAAACTAACGGAAAGGAGTCAATAAAGAGGAAAAAGATAAAGTGCATGTGCAGCAGAGAAAGCAGAAGAGGCTGAGATTTGAGCACAAACAACCACTAGATGAATGAACGAATGAATAAATGAAGTTAGTCACTCTTTTGGAAGTGGGAGGGAAGAGTTAAGGGTAGAGTTCTCCACATACTGAAAGTGGAGCAAACCAAGGAGGAATATCACTGAGGCCGAATCCCAGTACTGGCTACCCAGCCCTCAGATCACGTGTCCGGGGAGGAGAGCTAGTTCTCAGATGTCATTAAGGGGGAGGGGCACTCCCCACCCCACCTCTCCAAAGCCAGACAGAAAGCCTCACGTTGTGCAGTGGAGAAACCGAGAGATGGGGGAAAAGGTGGTCAGATAAGGAGAAAGCACAGGTATGGGTTTCAAAGCTTTGGCAATCGACAGGGGAGGTCAGTTCCTACCTTTCACTCCCACGTGCTGTCAAAGCATCCTGTACTGCTTATCCATAGCCCCTGATTCAGTTGTGGTTAATACATTTATGATGCCATCAGTTAAGATCTGTCTTTAGCTTTCAAGAGGGCAAGGGCTATGGCTACGTCTCTCTCTTTCCCTTCTCTTATCTCAAGTAGCTGACACTGTTTTTCACATAGGACCTGCTCAGCCAATCCTTGTTAAGAGCATGAATGAATGAACCTACACACTAAAGTAGGGTCCCACTTGAAAGGTTTGTATGCAGAGGATCATATCAAGGCTTCTCAGCTCCCCAAAACACATCCCAGATTCAGAAGAAGATCTTTTCACCTCTTCCTCAAACTCTGAACCCCTCTGTGTTTCTCCCAGCCAGTTTCTCTTTCTCTCTAGTTTGGTTTTACTATTTTTCTGGCTGTCTGTTTCTCTGTCTTTATGGTGTTTTTTTTTTCCTGAATTTGCACAGGAAGCACGCAGCTTTAGGTCTGAGACGATTGGTAATGGAAACATTGGTGCCTATGTAAATTTAATAAAGTGTCACGAATATTTGTATCTTTGTCATTAATGCCTGTCTCTTTGCCTGTGTTCTGTCTCAGACCTGATTCTTTCTCGACATCTTCCCGTGTCCAGCTCAAGAGTCCCACCACCACCCAGGACCAGCTCCTCCTGCCCCTGGATCTTCTGATGGACCCCAAAAGGTACTCAGAGGAAAATTTCTGAGCTAGACCCTCTCCTCTGATTTCCTGCCTTGCTGGTCTCGCAGGGCTGCTGACCACATCCTCTCTCACCTTACTGACATACTTCCTCATTAGTCACAGCACCCAGGACTTCTCAGCCCCCAAAACCTATTACTGACCCTCACCCGGGCCCTCTGCCTTACCCTCTTCTCTCACCCCAGGGTTCCTGTTTTTACCTTCCACCCTACCCTGCTCTTAGAACGATGTCTGTCTGCTTGCAAGCAGCCGGTCCTGTCCTTTTCTGGTTCTCCAACACCCCTTTTTCCCGTAGGTGGCAGTACTGACGACAATGCTGTCAGGCTGGTGGTGGCCAAGTACCTGGGGGAGCCTAGGGCTGGGGCCCCGACGCCCTGCTCAGGGGTCCCAGCTCTGTGCCCTCTATGCTTTCACTTATACTGGGGCAGATGGCCGGCAGGTGTCTCTGGCTGAAGGGGACAGGTTTCTACTGCTTCGAAAGACCAACTCAGACTGGTGGTTGGCGAGACGCCTGGGAGCACCCTCTACCTCTCGACCCATCTTTGTCCCAGCTGCCTACATGACAGAGGAACCTAGCCCTTCCCAGAGCCCAAACTCCATCACCCCCAGCCAGTCCCTCTGGACTCCTGGTGAGTAAGCCCCATCACCTTCTTATCTCCTTGGCTTCTGGGAATTACTGGCATGATCCCCTTCCCCCAGGCTTCTGCTGACCCTCTCCTATCCCTCATTCCCACCATAGTGTCCCCATCGCCTCTCCTCCTAGTCGCAAGCCTTCTAGATCTCATGTGATTTTCCACCTACTCTTGTCTCCTGTGAACCCCCAGGATGGGGGACCCAGCCAAGATCAATGGGGGGACCCTGCCTCCAACTCTTCCCATTTCTCTGTTTCCAGGCCCACAGTTACTTCCTGGCTCCATGGAGGAGCTGCCCCTGTGTCAGGAACCCCCAGGCAGAGCTCAGGCTTCATCCAAGCAGCCTCCTCCCCTCCCCACAAAAATGTGTCGAAGTGTCAGTGTTACCAATCTGAGGCCCACCCTCCTGAAGCCCTTCCGGGAAGGACCAAGTGAAAGATCCCTTTCCCAGGAAGACTTGCTGACAGTGGCCAGCGCAAACGTGGTGAGTCATAGCTCTTCTTCTGCGAGGTCAGTCATTTGGCTCAGTTCTAGGCACAGTGGCGAACAGGACAGACAGAATAAGCAAGCTAACCCTTGGTACTCATAAGAGCTGTCAAGAAGCTAAATGTGGTGGAGGATGACTGGAGTGATCTGGGAAGGCATCTCTGAGGAAATGCCATTTAGGTGAATCTGAATAAGGAGAAAGAGACAGCCCTGAAGCAAACTAGATGAGAAAGAATTCTAGCTGAGGGACAGCAGGCAGCAAAGATGCTGAGGGTACATGGAACCTGGCAAATGATATGAGGGGCTCAAAGGCCAGCTTGGTTATGCTTTTCTGTCTCAGCCTCCTGACTCCTGGCCCAGGACAGGGTTTTTGCTGTGTTCTGTCTTGCCAACTCAGGTCACTGGCAAGTCCTCTGTAGAGATGTAACTCCCTTGATCTTCCTGAAGCTTCAGCGCCTCCCCTTTCTCTTACTTACTAGTGAGTGAAAAATGGCCCCTCCTCTCCCATACTCCGCTAGCAGGGGTCCCTCACCCCTCTCTGCCTCCTTTTCTCTGGAGGATGTGAAGGTGGGGCTCTCCCTTCAACCCCTCCCTCCACAAACACAGAAAAAGAAAAAGCCTGTTCCCCTTTCCTGAGGTCCTCGGGTGGGGGTGGGGTGGGGGAGGAGGGAAGTTGGCAACAGGAAGTGAGGAGAAAAGCAAAGACGGTGAGGGAGGGAGTCAAAAAAAAAAAGAAAAACGGCTGGGGACGAGGGTTTCTTCCTCAGTACCTGGGTCACCCCAGCCAGGAGCTGGTGGTGAGAAAATGGTGGGGGAGAGAGGAGGAGGTAGTTAGAGAAGACTGAGGAGGGGTACAGGCAGAATAACTACCTTTTTCTTCCCTCTTTCCTTGCAGGCAAGACCCCAGCCCCTCATGTCAGAGCCCCCTGTGTACTGCAACCTGGTGGACCTTCGCCGCTGCCCCCGGTCCCCGCCTCCAAACCCTGCATGCCCCCCGCTGCAGAGGCTGGATGCCTGGGAGCAGCACTTGGACCCCAACTCGGGACGCTGCTTCTACATAAATTCCCTGACTGGCTGCAAATCCTGGAAGCCCCCACGCCACATTCGCACCCGAGAGATGGTGAGACTTTCCTTCCTGCTTGTCCCTTTGTCCCTTCAAACTCCTCCTTTCCCCTACTGACCCCCAAAGTAGTATGTTTTCTTGCTGGGGCTCTCAGAAGATCAGAAGAATCACAAAATTGTGAGAAGGGTGTTGGAAGCCAGTTGAGGTGGCATCTGGATATAGCTTTGCCTTTCTCTTCCCCCAGAACCCTGGCTCCACGGAGGGAACACAGACTCTGAACAGAGACAATGGTATCCTGCAGCCTCAGGCAGAGGGCTCAGAGTCTGGCACAGGGACCCCAGAACTGCTCCACCCTCGGGTGAGATCCCTCCATCCTGATCACATGCAGGAAAAGCCATCTTTTCAGACTTTCTTTTTTATGCAAGACATCGTTCTTCAGTTCTTCAGTACCCACCACACCCCCCTGCCTCTCACCCACATCCGCACCCCTCCTCCCCCTACAGCCAGGGACTCTGAAGTTGAAGTTTCCTCCACCTGTTTCTCCAACTTCTTGCCCTAGGGTTCGCCTGGCCTCCACAGACGCACCTCCCAGATCGACCCCTCAGATCAACCTTCAGCCTTTCAGTCCCCCCGGCCTCTGCCACAGGTTCTGGATGACCCCCATGTAAGTCTCCCGTTTCCTTGTGAATGCCAAGATCCTCCCTGTCCTAGCCCCCAGTTCTTGCTCCTTCAGATACATCTTCCTCTTTCTGAATGTTCTCTGGGTATCTTTTCTTACCGAGCACTTACCCCAACTTTAAAGGACCTCACTCCTGGGAGACTGTCTGGGGAAAGCCATGGTGGCTGTGTGGGGGAGCTGGGTGGTTTATTGATACCTTTCCTTCCACTTCCCAGGAGGTAGAAAAGTCAGGCCTGCTCAACATGACCAAGATCGCCCAAGGAGGGCGCAAGCTCAGGTGAGAACAGGGTACACAGCAGGGGCCCAGGTTTTTGGGTTCTGAGGGGTAGAGCAGAGTGTTGGGACAGGCCCTCCCCATGTGACTGTAAATGACCTTTGCGCTGCTACCACTGCCCTCACCACACCTGCAGGAAGAACTGGGGCCCATCTTGGGTAGTATTAGCAGGTAACAGCCTGGTGTTCTACCGAGAGCCACCAACGACTGCCCCTTCCACCGTCTGGGTGAGTGTGAAGGAGGGGAGAACCAGGGTGCAGGAGGGGTTCTGGCACAACTTCTCCCTGCCTCAGGCCAGCTGTGGGGGCGGAGGTGGGGAGGATGATGTAGAGAGGAAGGAGCGCTGCAGTCCACCGGTTGAGAGGGAGGCAGTGAGGGAAACAGCGCCGTGGCCTCAGTTTCTCCCCTAACTGCCAGGGACCAGCGGGTAGCCGACCTGAAAGCAGCGTGGACCTGCGGGGAGCGGCCCTGGCCCACGGCCGCCACCTGTCCAGCCGCCGCAACGTCCTGCACGTGAGTGCCCTCCCGCGCATTCCCTGAGCCCCTACCGACCGGAGGGTGCGCCCCAACTTTCCCGGACGGGTCTCCTGCTTGGCCTCCCTGCTTTTTATGCTCCTCCACCCTGATCCAGGCCTTTTGCCCGCTGGCCCCTCAGATTCGCACGATCCCTGGCCATGAGTTCCTGCTGCAGTCAGACCACGAGACCGAATTGCGATCCTGGCACCGCGCGCTGCAGGCAGTCATCGAACGCCTGGTGAGATGGGTGGGAGGTGGCCAGACGGAGACCCGAGAGAGCCTCTGCCGGGTCGGGGGCGGGCAGAAGGAGTGGAGGAGGAACTGTAGGATGCGGTGTGGTGCGGGGCCGGGTGGTCTCAGTGCAGAGCCCTGGGATGGACCTGGGGCATAGGACCCCAGCAGCAGGTTAGGAGGTGCAGATTTCTCTCTTCCAACCTCCGCCTCGAACCATCTTGCTGTGCGGATCTAGGATCGAGAGAACCCCCTGGAGCTGCGCCTGTCAGGCTCAGGACCGGCTGAGCTGGGGGAGCTGAGCGCCGGGGAGGACGAAGAAGAGGAGTCAGAGCGGGTGTCGAAGCCGCTACTGCGGATCGGCGGCCGGCGGAGTTCCAGTAAGGGGCGGCCTGGTCGGCGGGGCCTGGGGGTTCTCCCGGCTCGCGGAGCCTCGGCTGCGCTCCCGTTCTGATCCCACATGCCTCGGCAGGTCGGTGTCCCGAAGGAGCTGAGCAGAACCGCGTGCGGAACAAACTAAAGCGGCTTATCGCAAAGAGACCGCCCTTGCAAACTCTGCAGGAGCGGGGTCTGCTCCGAGGTGAGGTGGGCTGGGCCAGCCAGCGCCTTTCTCCTTTGTGCCTGGCTTAGCTTTTTTGCAGCAGTTTTATTTACATTCCTGATCTGGGCATCAGCCCACTTCATGGATGAGAAAACAAGTGAGGCTCAGAGTAGAGCTTCCCAGAACTAGGTCAGCAGTCTTCTAAGCCCACACCTTCCCTTCCTGCTGGGTTTTGCAAGCTGAGGGGTGTACCTCCTTGCCCAGGCCTGCAACAGGCAGGTGGAGGGCCAGCCCAGCTTTGGGGTGGAGACTTGTACTAGAAAGAGCTTCCATGGGTGTCACTTGCTTCCCACCTCATTCTGTGCCTCTCCAGATCAGGTGTTTGGCTGCCAGTTGGAATCACTGTGCCAACGTGAAGGGGACACCGTGCCCAGCTTTGTGCGGCTCTGCATTGCTGCTGTCGATAAGAGAGGTCACTTTCCTAGAGACCCCAGAGTCTCCCCTTCCAACAGGCCAAGGCCCAGAATTCCCCACCTCCCTCACCCTAGTCTTCCTTCTGCCCCTTTTCTCTCCACCCTCAGATCTCTCACCAGCCCTCAGTACACACTTTAGAGCAGAAATCCTTATCTGCTCTCTGTCTCATCTCCTAGGACTAGATGTGGATGGCATTTACCGGGTGAGTGGGAACTTGGCGGTGGTCCAGAAACTTCGCTTCTTGGTGGACAGAGGTAAGAAGGCTGTGGGCAGGTAGTGGTACTAAGAACTTCATGCCTCAGAACCACAGGTGATTCTGAGTGAGGGAGCTGGCAGAACAGGGAGGTATTCTGGCTGGAGCTGCATGTTTCAGCTGTTGATTTCTTCTCATACATGTTGCAGAGCGGGCGATCACCTCCGATGGGAGGTACGTGTTCCCAGAACAGCCAGGACAAGGTACTTACCTGGAGGGTCCCTCAGACTCATAAAAGTTTCTCACATCATCCCTGCTCCTCGTGAATTCGCCCCTGTCCTGCTCCTGGGATGGTGGTCCCCACCCCTATCTCTGCTGTCTTGCTCCACTGTGGACCCCCTAGGCAGTCCTGTAGTCTGCCTTAACTGGATCTTTTCCCAAACTCCTGAACTCTCAGTCTCTGGGTCCCTCTGGTCCTTCATGAACCCTGAGCCCCTCTGTACTTCCTTCTTCTTCCAGAAGGCCGATTAGATTTGGACAGTGCTGAGTGGGATGACATTCATGTGATCACGGGAGCTCTGAAGCTTTTTCTCAGGGAGCTACCCCAGCCTCTGGTGCCCTCACTGTTGCTGCCCCATTTTCGTGCCGCCCTTGGTAAAGAATCGGAGCTTTGGGCAATACCCTTGATATGGAGTGGAGGGAGGGGAGACAAGAGTGATAAAGAATAGAGGTTCCCTTACACTCTTCTGTCCCATCCTGAGCACAGAGATGGAAAATAACTTTCAACTCATGTGCCAACTCCAGTTGTTTTTGGTGAATATTTAGAGGGCTGACTTAGAAAGAATTCTAAGGCAGCGTTTGGGCTCAGTGAAAAAGAAAGCTGTGATAAATTAATGATGTCTTCCATGGGCATGGGAGAGAGTAGTGAGTTCACCCGCCCCGCCCTACCTAGCACCTTCCCTAACCTCACCCCTGTGCCCTTCCCGTCACTCTTTCTAGCACTCCCAGAATCAGAACAGCGCCTCACTCAAATACAAGAATTAATAAGCTCAATGCCAAAGCCCAACCATGACACTCTGCGGTACCTCCTGGAGCATTTATGCAGGTCAGGAAGACTGAACATCTGTGGAGGGAGGGTGGGTGGGGCATGCAGCAGGGACTCTGTTCGGGTCAGGTGAAGGTAGGGAAACACCTAAGACTGGTGAGCAGACAGAGGAAACCAGGGTCAAAGCCTTATTTGCTCAGTCGGTATCATTTAAATGGGGGAACTGGGGACCAAGACAAGCCCAGGGATGCTGTGAGGGAAATAAGGAAAGAAACTCTAACCTTTCACTTCCCTCTGCGTCTTTGTCTTTCATTTGGACAATATGGATGACTTACTTGGCTGAGCTGGGCCTGGACAGTGACCTCTGAGAGAGGGTAGCCATTTGAATTAAAGCCCCCCAAATTGTGAGCGGAGAGGACTCTAGGGGCAGTCTCTGAAGCTGGGAAGAGGCAAGGGCATCCTAGGTTGCGTCTTCGAGTTGTGTCCTGACCCTGGTCCCATCTCTGACCCCCTTGAGGCTCTCTCCTTGGTTTTCATCAGCCACCACACGGGATCCTGAAGCTAACTCTGCCTCAAACTTTGAAGGCTTGGGTTTATTTGAAGTGGCAAAGCTGCTGCCCTATAGCCCTGGCTGTTGGTCTTTTCTTACAGGGTGATAGCACACTCAGACAAGAACCGCATGACCCCCCACAACCTGGGAATTGTGTTTGGACCAACCCTATTTCGGCCGGAGCAGGAGACATCTGACCCAGCGGCCCACTCCCTCTACCCTGGGCAGCTAGTCCAGCTGATGCTCACCGACTTCGCCAGCCTCTTCCCCTGACTGGGGCAGGGAAGAAGAGAAAATATGTTTCCAGTGATCTTTGCTGGGTGCCCTTTGATGGGGGTGCAGGTGGGGGTGTTCTGTTTGGGGGACATCCCTTTAAATCCTGTGTCTCCCAGATGACTGTCTGCATCTTTGTGAGTCTGAGCTGAGGGGTTGGGATAGGGTGAGGAAGCTTTTCTAAAGAAGGAAGTGGATGGATTAACCCCTGCTTCTCTAGTTCCCTGTCATCACCTCTCCTTCAAGATAATAACGTATAAAGCAGGGCTCTTTCGGATGCACCTCCTTTATTATCAGGAAACAGTATCACTATCAAATTCCTCCCCAGATACATTTAGACTGTGTACAGCCCCAGCCTGTACCTCCCATCCCTGGGGCATCCCGAGGTTGGGGAGGGGGTGCTATGGCTCTTCCTCCTGACTTCTTTGTGAGGATGGAAACCCCTTAGGAAACGTGTATCTGTGATTCCCGCTCTCTAGGCACTAGAGTTGAGGAATTGTGTCTCTCCAGGCAGGGATCCCAGTAAAACACTCATGTTGCCCACAGCCATGTTGGGGGGCCCAGAGGGAGGTGGGGTGTGTTCAGAGCTGTCCCTCTGATCATGGGAAGGGGGAGGACTCAGCCCCTGGGCCTCATCCAGAATAGCCACAAAGTCCAGCTGAGTGTTGTCGAGATCAAGAGTGTCCAGAGGGTTACACACCTGCCCTTCGGGAGGAGGGTACAAGGCAGGGCCCCCTCCCAGCCTGCCCACCTCAGGATGGCCACAGCTGGGGTTGGTGCCTCCGGCCTTGAGGGGCCCATAGCAAGTGGGTAGTGGGGGCAGAAGTCGGGGTGGTGCTGCTGCCCTAATGGAAGCCTTGTTTGCCCCTACTGCAAAAGTTTCATGACATGGCGAAGGGGCAGGATAGGAGCCTGATTTGTGAGTGGGCAAGTTAGGTGCAAAGCCAGGTCCATATGTGGCCACTGGGGCCTTGGCAGGGCTCGGGCTTACCTGGGAAGCCCCTAGAAACTTGGGACTCTGGTAGAGAGATTCTTGGACTGGGGGATCTCCCCTGCCCCCACCCTCCCACAGCAGCTCCTGTTGAGACTGAACATAATTACACACAAGCTGAGCCTTGAGCTGTCCTGTAGAAGGAGTGGGGGAATCAAAATCCAAGCCAGGCCTGGGTTCTGAAGTCAGATAATCAGGGTGTGGCTGGGTATAGGTGTCTGACTGGGGATACTGGGGAGGGGGAGGCTGGGGGTAGAACAGAGGCTGTGGGCGTGGAGGCCCGTCATTGGGGTGGGCATTGAGGCAGGGTGTCAGTCCTGTGGAGTCAGAACCCACTGGACACCCCTGTTCTGGCTTCACCTGCACCTGTCCATAATGTTCAAGACGAGGACTCTGGCTGTAGGCTCCAGTTGGAGCCTTGGGGCCGGGGTACAGCCCAGAGTGAGAAGGGAACTCACTCCATGTTTCTGGGGTGGGTTCAGGATAGGAGACCTGCTGGGAACAGGGGTTGGGGCCATAGTTGGTGGGTGGACCAGGCCCAAGAGACAGGGAGCCTGGATCTCTAGCCCCATAAGGCTCAGCTGTCCCCGCCTCACATCCCCCATATCCCAGAATATCAGCAGTTGGGAAGTCTATATAAGGATTCAGACCACTGCCCATCATGGAGGTCCCAACCTCTGGCTCCTCCCGTAGCCCTCTGGTATCCATGGCAACATTTTCAGTGATGCTGGGAGGCTGTGGTGAGTAGACAGATGTTGAGAGTTGGTGATCGAAGTTCCGTCCTCCCCCTGTCACTGTGGGAGGTGTATGGACACAACCCAAGCTCTTGAACCTCTGGACTCTGGCTGGGGCAGGGCGGTCAGCAGCCCGGGCTGGGTCGCTGGCTCTCCGGGTGACCCCTACATTGGGGTTGTATCCTGGATACTCGACTCGGCTTCTCCAGGGAGGTGCCGGAAGACCTCCCATCCGATCCAGGCTAGGTACTGCAGTGGGTGGGGTACTACCCGCCCTGGCTGAAGCATATCTTGCCCGGAGCAGGTAGTGTTGGGCAGGCGTGAGGCCAGGTAGAGAGGATGCCCCATTCTCTGGTGGGGAGCCAGGGGGGAAAGGGGAGGCCAGGGAGGAGCGGCGGCTGACAGTATAGGCTGAGCTGATGCTGCTGGAGCTGCTGCTGCGGCGGTCAAGAGAAACTGGGGGGCCCAGACGGCGGGACACAGGGGTGCCTGCAAGTGATAGGCAGAAAAGGCAGGGTCGCCAGGGAGCCCTCTGCATCTCCCCCTGCTTCCCCCATGGGATAGCCTTGCCCTGGAATCCCAGGGAAGATTCCTTAACTATAAGCACTCCGTTCTGTCTCCTGCTCCCATTCCCTTTCTGCTTCTGGGCCATCAGGATTCAGGGCTGCTATGAACAGTCCTACAGGTTGTACACTGCACAATCCTGGAGGACAGCATTCACGTCGTAGACTTTGTACATCACAATAATTTTCTGACAGATGGAAGAAAAGTGTCTTGAGGAAAAGGGACCTTTTTCTAATTGTACAAAGGTGCTACATGGCAGCCCTGAAGGGTGAAGTCCTCCTTCTAGCTTCAGGGAGGGTGCAGATTTCAGCCCAGCAACCAATGCCCACACTGAGCTCTCACCAGTGTGGGGCAAGCTGGGCAGTTTAAGGCCCCGGGGCCCTATCGGCCGGAGTTGATGTAGCTGGTCCAGCCTGAGGTTCTCAAGGCGGCGAAGAGTAGACAGACCAGTGCCAGCAATGCAAGGCCCCTCATCCAAGCTGGACAGGTCCTCAGTGCTGCCCCCTGCATTTCCGGTCATTTCCACACCGCTGTCTGTATTAGCTGCGCTGCCTGCTGGGGAGTGGTCACTGCTGCAGGATGACTGGGCCCCAGGGCTCGGCTGTGGCTTCTGTGGGGAAGACGAGGGCTGAGGGTGGCACCCATCCCCCTTCCCCACAGCTCCCTGAACTTGGTGAGTGGCTCAAGCCTGTGACCCAGTGACTGCTTACGGGCGTAGAGAGGGCTGAGCAGGTGAGACAGGCAAACTGGAGGAGAGCTGTTGATGAGACGAGTCTAGACTACCTGGGATCAAACTTGTGCTCTTCATTCTATGCCTCTGGACAATTTCTTTATGCCTGAGTTTCCTCATTTGAAAATGGGAAGCGTAAGTTCCTGTCTCATGACATTATTATGAGGAGTACGTGAAATTAGACAGGACACAGCATCACTAACAAATTCCTCCCCAGATATATTTAGACTGTGTACAGCCCCAGGTAAAAGGCTTCGAGTAATATCCTCAGTCCTATATAAGAGTTTGTCGAACCAATTAAGTACTTAATTACACTAAAAACCCTAGATTTAGGGTAGCCCAAGGAATAACACTCAGATAAGAGACTGGAGGACTGGCCACAGAAGAGAGCCTTACATAGCAGGGATGGATGAGTTGGGACGGGACTAGAAAGATGTCGGCAGGGCGGGCGGGGGTATGGAGGCAGGGGGTTGCCTCACCATGGCACCCTCTGGCACGGTCAGTCTGCTCTCCTCCCTGATGGGACCTCCATCCCGCTCCCTCTTGGGCTCCACTGTGGAAAGAGCCGGTGCCCGGGGCAGAGGGCCATCCCCTCGGTGCCGCTTGGTCACGTGGGCATCAGGACCGTGCACTGTCTTGACATGTTTCCGGAGCGAACTGGGATCTGTGTAGCGTTTGGTGCAGCCAGGGAGCTTACACACATATGGCTTCTGTTGAGTGGAGAGTGAAGACAGCAGGCAAAAGGATCAAAGTGGGAAAATGCAGAAGTGGGAAAAAGGGGTGGCCCCAAGCAAGGACAAGGGGGGCCAGGGGGGAATGCATAGCACCCAAGGAAGGACGGAGGAGTAGGGCCCTTGGAGTAAAAGATGAGAGGATCAAGGGGAAGATTAGGAAAACTGACAGCCCAGCTGGGGAAAGCCGAGGGGCTGAACCCAGGTCTGCGAGGCCTCATAAATTCAGGGTTGAAGGGACCAGGGGTCTCCTCCGGATAGAGTGGGTCTATTCTAGTTTAGCCCTTTGGCTGGTTAGAGGTAGGGGGAGGGGTGTTAGGTGGACAGTCGCAGTTTCAGAAAGGCCTTCTCCAGGTGAACTATGTGGGTGGGGAGGACTCACCTCTGTGGAGTGGGTGCTGGGCTAAGGGATTTCTTAGGGGGAATCTTCCCAGTGGGTGACTTCTGTAAGTGGGGAGGGTCTCTTGGGTGGGGCATTCACCTCATTGGAATGGGTCCGGTTCTGGTGTTTGGCTCGGTCACTGGCATTGCTGAAGGCTTTACTGCAGCCCTCGTGCTCACACATGTATGGTTTCTCACCCGTGTGTGACCGCAGGTGTGTCTTCAGATTTTCTAGGCGTGAGTATGACTTCCGGCACCCCTCGAACTAGGGGATATGGGGGTCAAAGGATCGCTCTCAGACAGAAGGACGTGGAGATTAGAGGACCCCTGAATCTCAAAAGGGACATGTATCAGAGAATATAACTCAAGATGGAAGAGCTTTGGAGCTTTGAAATTCCCAAAATTTAGGGACAAGGGCAGGCAAGAGCTGGGGGAACAGAAGTAGCTGGAGGCCCTCTGCCTGCTGGGATGTGGAGATGATGCAGTGAGCATTGCCTGCTCAAGCCAGAGCACATCTCCCTGCACAGGCAGCCCAGATTGTCTTAGGATGGGGTCATCCTGGGAGGCTCTGTGTCCTCAGTCCAGGGTTTCTCCAGGGTTTCAGGCACAGTGCCTGCAAGTCAAATGTCCACAAAAATGTTTTAATTTCTTTTAAAAGCAAGGGAAAAAAATTAGCTTTTAGGTCCAAGGAAATGTTCTAATATATAACATTAATGTTTATCTTTATACCAACAGATTCATAAGATACAATTCTTACATACATTTATGGAGAAAGGGGCCTATGAAGGCAAAAGTCATATTGGGCTCTGCTTTGGTGGGGAGCCCCAATTTAGGGAGGGACCCTGAACTTGAGGAGGGGGTGCCTCACCGTGCACTTGTGTGGCTTCTCGCCTGTGTGTCTGCGCATGTGCACCACCAACATGTACTGGGCTTTGAAGGGCCTCAGCTCCCTGGAGCAGCCCCCCCAATGGCACACGAACTCCTTCCGC